GAAGCAATATATATTATATATATAAATTTAAAAACGATTTAGTTACAAAATTTCCTCTTTATCCAAACCGTACAGTAAATACTTAGTTGTAATATTTTTTCAATTCAACATTTTATGAATGATATAATGCATTTTAGTTGAGTTTATTGATTGTTATTGAATAGAATTTTTAGATTGGTGTACTTCTATTTATATAAGCGCTTAACAGCATTTTTGGTGCCAGTAAACAATACATAAAAATTCTCTGATAAATTTCACTAAATAATTATACTATATATTTATATGTATATTTAATGATCAAGAAACTCAGCTTAATGTTTTACTTATTTATTTGCATTATGCACACTGCGGCTTAGAATGTTCAATAAACAGTTTTAATGTACCTAAATAGAAACTCAAAAAAAAAAAAAAAGAAGCAATCGTCTAAAACGCTATATATAAATATAGAGTAAATGCGTTACTATTATTTCTTTTTTATCAATAGTTGTATTCAATATGTGATTGTGTGTGAGCGCAATATTCAAAATCCAAGCAACTATTATATACTATATGAAAATKTTGAACTTTTGTCACACTCGCTGTTAAACAAAACAAACAAAAAAATATAAAGAAAAAATCAAAAATAGTTTACTATCTAGTATATATTTTTTAATATGATTTCTTCTTTTAAGTTTTTTGGACACGAACCAACCTGCAATTAGTGCGTAAGTTTTAAACGTTAACGTAAAATTTTTTTGGCGCTTTTTAGCCCACGCCCACCCAACTGCTGCTGTCTATGTGTGTGTGAATATATGTGTGTATTTATATATATTATGTATATATTTCGTATATATAATATATATAATTCAGTAGTATCTTGTATTCCCCAGCTCGATTACTCGATCTGTGTCACCCTAAGATATTGTCTTATGCTTTACATACGCATGCTGTTGTGCTTACGTTACATACGTTAACGAGATTACGTGCATTGCGTGCCCGAAAGCTGATTCGTCAGAGCGCGCCGCACCAACACATGCATACATGCTCCCCCAAAAAAAAAATTAACGGTTTACGTTTTTTGCGTTCTCTTTTGTATATTTTTGAGCATGTACAAAAAAATCTATTTCTTTCTCTCTGTCTCTCTCTCTCTCTCTCTCTATTTATTACAAGAAAAAAAAAATCTCTGCCTCTCTCTCTATATATATCTCATGTTTAGCTAGTGAAAGCGAAAAAAAGAAAAGTGTCCTAAAAACTGTGATACTCGCATTTGTTGTTATCTTTTTGATAAAACTTTTAATTTGTTTTTGTAAGCGTAGTGTGCATTGAAGCGAAAGCCAAACAAATAAATAAATAAAATAGCAAACTAACAACTATTTCTATTTAAAATGCATAAGTACAACAAAAACAATAAGAACCAAACAAAAAAAAAAAAAAAAAAATCAAAGATTTGTGCAAAATTAGTACGTATTTGTTTCTACTAAATGCATATTGCATTTGTGTGTATATGTAGATAATTATTAAATAATATTCTTATATGATTGCAACAAAACTCTTGCTACATATACACGCATTGCCATTATATTATAAACTATATGTGTGTGTATATATTGATATTATATAATTACATAATATA